TGCGTCCGCCGCGTACGGCACGCGGTACGAGTGCACATAGTAGTAGTAGTCGTCCAAGTTGACCGCTGGCGCATTGCTCTGGTCGAACTCGAGCGGGACCGCGCGGCTCCACCCCATGTGGGGCACAGCCTTGCGCCGTCCCTCGCTGTCCTGCGACGAGAAACGCACGACGCGCGCGGGGATCACGCCGAGGCCCTTCGTGCCAGGGTTCTCTTCGGACTCGGCAAAGAGCACCTGCATGCCGATGCAGATGCCCATGTACGGACGGCCGCTCGCAATGTAGCGGCGGAGCGGCTCGGCGTACCCGTCGCGTGCCAGCGCTTCCATCGCATGGCCGAACGAGCCCACGCCGGGGAATATCAGGCGGTCGGCCTTGTCGAGATCCTCTGGCGAGCGCACCCACTCGAACGAGTGGCCGAGCCGCGTCAGCGAATTCGCCAGACTCTGAATATTACCAGCGCCGTAATCAAGCACGTAGAGCATGGATAAGCCACGACTCAATTTTTGAGAACAGTGCACGCACGCACGCACGCCCACACGCACGTGCACGTGCCCACCACCACCACCATGCCCGGGCCAGATTCCAAGCAAGAATCCGGTAACAAATTGGGCGGCACCCCCAAGGGCGCCAGCAACGGCGCGCCCAGCAAGCAGGCAGATAGCAAGCAGTCTGATGCTGCGCGCGTGCCGGCCACCCCCTCGGCTGCGTCTGACAGCAGCGAGGCCCGTTCGCCAGACTCGGACGCCAAGTCTGCGGGTGGCGTGCCACCCAGCGGTGCCGACGCCGACAATGCCGCACAGAAAGGCACCAAAACGTCCGGCAAGGCCACGGACAAGGCCACGAGCAAGACGGGCGGCACGGACGCGTCGCACGCGCTCGGGACGACCGTCTCGCTGAGCGACGCGTCGGCGTCTGCAGCCGAGACTGCGCAGAAGGTGCTCGACGCGGCCACAGAGCAGGTCGAGAAGGTCGCGGCATACAGGGACGGCACCGCGGCCGACTTTGTGTCTGACGTCTCGGACGCCATCGAGAACTACGCCACGAACGTCAGCAACGCCGCAGCCAAAGAGTCGCGCAAGCTGCACGTGTTCCAGGGCATTGTCGCGACACTGCTCCGCCTCCTCGTGCTCCTGTCCCTCAGGGTGTTCCCGCTGCGCGCCTGCGCCGCTGTCTTGGTCCTGTACGCGACATACCTGGCCATCTGGCTCGTGCTCGACTCGTCGCTCAAGTCGCGCTCGAGCCAGGCGGGCGCTGCGAGGCGCAAGCGGTCGTTCTTCCGCGGCGTCCTGTTCGGCGTGTCGACGCACTCGCGCAAGGTCAACTTTGTGCTCCTCGGCTTCCACACGATCGTCGCGCTCTTCTTCCTCGACTTTTACTACTCGCCGCACATGTTCCCGTCGTACTACGACTACAACCTGCGCTTTGCGCGTGTGGGCGCGCTCACGCCGAACAGCGCCACGATACACGTGCGCTACCCCCACCCCCTTCCCCCGCTCGACGGCCTCTGGGACAACGACAACGACGGCGTGCTGTACGATGCGTCGCTGTACGCCGAGACGCCAGTGCGCGTCGTCTGGCGCCGCGTGCTCAGGCACAGTGCACAGGTTCCCGCTGGTGCAGCCGTGCGCGACCCCCGTCGCTGGGAGCGCGGCCCCCTGCTCCGCCTCGCAGAGGACTCTGACTGGACGGCCACGGCGCTCATCGACAACCTCTGGCCGGCGACCGAGTACGAGTGGCGTCTCGCGTTCGTGCACAACAACACGTTCGCGCCCCTGCCCGAGCGTCCCGTGTCGTTCGTGACGTGGCCGGACCCCAAGCTCGCCGCATACCTCAAGACGCGCCGCTCGACACACACGTCGCTGCGCAACGCGGTCGATGACCCGAACCACTTTACGTTTGCGGCCACCTCGTGCATCAAGCCCGACTTCCCCTACCATCCCGCGCAGTTCTGGCTCTGGAACTGGTTCATCCGCGCATTCGGCGTCGGCGGCGGGCCGGGCGGCGTCACGAAGCGCAATCGCATCCGCGGCTTTGACCTGATGGCCGAGCGGCTCGTGGATGCCGTCCGCGAGACGCCCGGAATCCGCTTCCTCCTCGAGCTCGGCGACGTCATCTACGCGGACGTGCCGCACTACGAGGGCGCATACATCTCGTCGTACCGCAAGCTCTACCGCAACCTGTTTGCGTCGGATTCGTTCCGCCGCATCTACTCCAAGATTCCCGTGTTGGGCATCTTTGACGACCACGAGGTGGTGAACAACTGGAGCGGCGCTGGCGACGGTTTCAAGACGCTGCCTGACTCGCCTCCTGCCGCGTTCAAGCCCGGAATCAAGGCGTGGTCCGAGTACATTGGCAGCGCCAACACGCCCAGCAGCAAGGGCGAGCAGCACTACTTTTCGTTCCAGTACGGCGACTCGGCGTTCTTTGTCGTCGACGCCCGCACGCACCGTACGCACCCCCACATCCAGGGCCCCGAGCGGACGATGCTCGGCGAGAAGCAGCGCGGCGAGCTGCTCGACTGGCTCGCTCGCGTCAACCACACTGCGACGTTCAAGTTCATTGTCACCCCCGTGCCTTTCACCTCTGTGTGGGGCGGCCCGCTCGACCTTGATGGCCACCTTGACGGCTGGCCGGCGTACGCGGATGACCGCAAGGCTGTGCTCGATGTGCTGCAGTACGTGCCCAACGTGATTATCATCAGTGGTGATCGCCACGAGTTTGCTGCTGTGAGCATGCGTGACTCGGTGCTCGAGTTCAGCACGAGCCCACTGTCGATGTTCTACATCCCTATCCGCACTGCCGCCCAGGAGCACGTGGTCGAGCCCGACAACGAGGTCTTCCTCAAGTACCTCCCTGACGGGCACCACAAGTGGACAGAGTTCGAGGTCGATACGCGCGACCCTCACGACCCGGTCGTCCACGTCACCGTGCTGATCAACGGCAACGAGGCGTGGAACGTCACTGTCCACGGCCATCCAGTGCGTCGCGCACAGGGCGCAATTGGCTCGATCGCTCAAAGCTTGCTGGAACTTTTGGGCTTTAAGCCACGTAAATGGTTTGATTAATTCTAGTAGTCATGTACACACAAAATGATTGTCCGACAACAACACATCCCGGCTAGCTCAGTCGGTAGAGCGTCAGACTCTTAAAAGGGTCTCCTCGGTTACGAGGAGTTATCTGAATGTCGTGGGTTCGAGCCCCACGTTGGGAGTTTCTTTTTGCGCTGCGTGCCAACGCCTAAGAATATTTTGCGTATCAATCAGCTGCACATCAGCAAACATGCACACCCACACACTCTCACACACGGGGCGACGACACTCACACGGAATAGTTCATGAATACATTTTTTAAATTTTGCGGTAGTTGCTTGCACCTTCTAAATACGAACACTAGCGTTAGACCGGTTGTTAGTACCGATCTTGTGAAGCTCATCGCGCCGAGTAAGCACTGAGCTATTTCCCTCAAGCACCGCAAGCACCTCAACGGCCAGACGCCGGCTGATCATACGATCAAGACGACGGTCACTTGCCTCGATGATCCACACCAGCGCACGCCGAGTGCTCTGACGCTCGTTGAGCGGAATAGGGACCTGGATAGTCTTACCGCCCTGCTTGCGCGACTGCATGCGCAGAAGCGGGCGAGCGAGGCGCACAGCCTCGTGAACAAGGGGAACAGGGCTCGAGTTGGTCAGCTTGGCCATGTGCCCGAGCATCTCTGCCACCCAGCGCTCAGCACGGGCTTTCTTGCCCTCGCGCATCAGCAGGTTGACAAAGAACTGCAGGAGCGGATCTTGCCGTGGTGGCAGGCTATCCGGCGAATATGCCAGAGGGGGTTTCGACACACCCTCGGGGACGCTGGCCTGGCTCGGCAGGACGACTTTGGGCGACTCGGCGGCGGAGGAGCTGCTGTGCTTTGCAAGCTGCTTCGCCAGCTCGGCTGCAGCCTCTTGAGGGCCTGTTTTTTCTGTGGCATTTGGTGTAGCAGTGGCATAGCGCGCAATAGGCACACGCGCAATGGCGGGCACATAGTACAGCGCCGGGCGCACCGGCGCAAGTACGATGCGAGACAGGGCCATTGTCAGGAGTAAGAAGATTACGTGAGCGCCTACCTGGTCTACATGCACCCTCCATCTAATAATAATTCAGACGCGGATCGCGTAGGCAACCGGCCAGCAGATGGCTGGAGCGCCGCTGCTGGCAGTGCGCAGGCGTACCCAGGGCCAGCTATGGTGGGCAATGAGCGTTTCAGCGGGGCACAGAGAGTCCCGCCGCCGCCGGGTCCCCCGCCAGGGCCACCTCCAGGGCCACCACCGGGGCCACCACCAGGCCTGCCGCCAACCCTCGCAGCTGTGCCGCCACCTCCATTTAGTGCAGCGGGGACCGACACTATGGCGCAAGCACACAGCCAAAGACCACTGGGACACGCGCCCCAGATGCCTGTGAACGCGTCTCCCGGACCGCCGCCACGACTGCCTACTCCCGTGCGCCAGCCAAGCTTCGGCACACCACCAGCTCGACTGCCGCGTGCGTCTCCGCGCGCATCACTCACACCAGATCTCGACAAGGAAATTGGGGCATTGCGTGCACAGCGGCGCGATGACCTGCGCGCATTCTACCTTGTGACCGACAAGAACGGCGGCAGCACCAGCATCCCACCGTACTTTGCGCTTAAAAGTGCACTGATGGAGCTCAGTGACGCCGAAGTTGAGCTTGATGCCGCGCGGGCGCGTGCAGAGTCTGTCGAGGAGTCGCTGCTGCGGATCCAGGAGGACGCATTCACATTCACTGCAGCAGCAGCCGCTGCCGAAACATAGCTGCGATAATTTACACGAATGTACTCTATCTAATGCTACAATGTCCAACAAAAAATAGAACATAGCATCAAGCCTCAGTTCGAAGAGCAACGACGCAAAAAGATGTTCCCAGTCCGGGAATTGAACCCGGGTCTTGACGGTGAGAGCGTCATATACTAGCCACTGTACTAACTGGGACAGAACCCATTCCCAGTCCGGGAATTGAACCCGGGTCTTGACGGTGAGAGCGTCATATACTAGCCACTGTACTAACTGGGAGGACTGTTGTCAGTGCTCCCGGCGCTTGACATATGACTATGTGCTAGTCGCTGGTGAACGCAGCGAATTCTCCACTGTGGTGCACACGCGCTGCTTAGTAGCACGACTTACCTTTATGCACTCTCCAAGTTGTGGAGGCACCTGAGGCGATGCACTGATTTTGGCGAGACGCGAGATGGACTCGCCCAGCACATTCACCTCAGACTGCGGACTGCTCAGCATACCCTGCGAGTGACAGACAAACCTGCGCTGTAGTCGTGGGTATGCCAGCAGCAACAGTGCGCATGCTCCCTCGATACGTGCTGGCACGAGTGGTTCGCCCAGCAGCGTCGTTAGCCACGACGAGACCATATCAGCATCGACAGTCGAGTGATGCTTGAACAGCTCTCCGAGGAAGCGGCATACATCAATGATGGACACGTTCGATGACTCAAAGGACGCTCTTAGGAGCGCAGTGCGAGCCTGAGCCTCGATCACCTCGGAAAACAGCTTGCGTAGTCGCACTGGGATCAGTCTGCGTATCACGGCCGATACCGGCAGGCATGCAGAGCACTCCGTGCCTGCTATGCTGCAGCACTCAATGTCTGCCAAGTGGTGCACGGGAAGCTGTCGCGCATGCATCGACTGTTCCAGCGTCTCCCACTCTGCAAGCAGCGTGCCCAGATGTGCGAGGTACTCGGCCAGCGTGCCTGGACGCGGAAATGTGCGCCGTGGATCGCGCAGAGCCATGTACCATGCAGTGTTCGCGAGGTGATTCGCCACCGCAAGCGCGGTCTCGCCACCTACTGTGCCCAGCGTGCGGTACTGGGCGGCGAGTTGGGTGCTGCCGGACAGCATACTCCCCGATTCGATGCTCACATCGGGATTCATCCTGAGACTCGGAGGACTCGAGGCCAGTGCTGCGGCACTCGTCGGATTCCATGCCTCCATCAGGAGCGTCGCGGTGCTTTTTGCGGCGCGCATCGTTGCGCGCGGCGCGTCTTCGGCGCATGCGATGCCTGCCATCGCAAGGTCGATGCGCCATGTCAGTCGCTCCAGTGCGGCGTGATCAGCGGCTAGTAGCTTTGCGGCAAACTCACGCTGGCCTGCCGGCGCTGTATGCTCAAGTGCGCTGCGTGCAACCACCGACTCGATCTCACACGCTGGCGGCGTCACCTGGATCGCCGGGAGGCTAAAGTCGCTTGGCGGATCGTCGGACCACGTCGCTCCCGGAGTGCGGGGCGTGCCCTTGCCCAGGAGCCGCGTGCGGGCACAGTGCCCGAGGACAAGCGAGTGTGGCGACTCGGGGGTGCGCTGCGCCAGGTGTCGCCCCGGACATGCTGCGGGAGTATTCTCCACTCGCGCCTGGACGCGTCTAAATGACGACTCTGGATCGCGTGTGCGCTTACGTGTAAGTGGCGTGGGCGAGCTTGGGAGCGATGACGAGCTGTCAAGGAGCACGTGGATCGACTCGAATCGCACGCGCGCCAGTGTCGCCCCCGCATGTGTGTCTGAGCTGGACGAGCCAAGTGGCGGACTCGACTGTGCGACTGGACTGCTGCTGCTGCTGCTTGAGCGGGCCAATGGCGAGCGAGCGAGTGTGCGTGTGTGTGCGCGACTGAATTGCGTCGCTGTGACCGAGCGTGCATGCCATGCATGCGCACTCGCATGCGCACGCGCGCGCAGCGCAGCTGCATCGCGAACACGCCACAGATGCTGTTCCATAACGAATAGTTTTTTATAAAGATGCAAAGTGGCCAATGCGCTGCATTGGCATAAAACTATTGAGGGGGAGCAACACTTACTCTGAGTGGCTCGCTCACATATGTCGCATGCCCATCTGTATGTGTCACAGACGCCTGCAGCACAAATGTCCCGTGTGCAAGGAAACAAAGCGTTTTCGACACACTGGTACTTGCATTAGGCGCGAGTGGCCACGGGGTGACCCGTGACGTCCATGTGCCGTCCGTGACGAGAACACGTGCCGCCGGCTGCACGAGGGACCATGTACACAGGAGCGACACATGCGCGTCCGACGCGTTGGTCACCGTGACGGTGACGGGCGTCGGCCGCTCAACCACAGCGTCGTCGACCGAGAGCGTCACGCCGATGCGGGGAACCAGCGCAAGTTCACACTCTTCCGGCGACGGCCACAGGCAGCGCAGGGATACCTGGCCCGTCTCGTGATCACTCCACGACGCAGCAACCTGCCGGAGCAGCGCGTCACGCACCCAGAACTGACGCAAGCCCTCCGTCTTGGCCTCCGGTGTGAGCGGTGTCCTGGGCACGACATACTGCTTGGGCATCAGGACGGGGATGTCGCCTGCCAGCTGCTCATCAGTCAGACTGACCTGGGCAATGGGCACCAAGAGTCGCGCGGTGCTCTCCCGCGGCACCTGCACCTCGTGTGTCGCTTCGCCACTCTTCACCGACACGGTGCGCGCATTCGGCGCGTCATTCTCAAAGCTGAGAGCGAGGGCCTTGCCCTCGGCGCCCAGCCGCTTTGCGGCGTCTGAGCTGAGAGCCAGGACGCTCGCGTTTATACAGCGCACGCCCGGACGAACCGACAGGGCGAGTGTCCGCTGAGCGCTCTTGGCCAGCAGACGAGCGCTGCCCGTGTCGTGCGCGTAGTGGACGGTGACACGCGCCCACGTGCAGCCGAGACGGCCGGTGACATGCAGAGGCACGACCACCGACGAGCGTGGAGCAACGGATACCGCGTCAGTGTTGGTGCGACTAAGCACAGACTCGTGCAGGAGGCGCCACTCGAGCTCGTGCACGTCGCCAGGAAGCAGCGAGCCGCTCTCGATCGATGCTCGGATCGGCCCCTGCAGACTGTCGTCGAGCGTGAGCGCGACGACATCGGCAGGCGTGTCGCCCATGTTGATCAGGCGCACAGCAAGTGTCTTGGTCGATCCGTCGGCGAGTGCGATCGTCGGGCGCACCAAGTCGGGGAAGGCGACTTGGACAGTCGGCTGGGGGGGATGCACAGTGCATTCGAGCGGAAAGGCAGGCTCCTCGACTATGCCACGCATGACGGCGCGGAGCGATGGACGCGCATTGAGGCCACTCGGACGCTCAATCTCGCGGACATGCACGCGCTCGCCGTCCTTCCTGCGGGATATCTTCAAGACGTGCTCCTCTGCCTCCCAGAGCGTGATCTTGACGCCCTCGATCTTGAGCGTGCCGCTCTCGCGCGGGATTCCATGCAGACACACAGTCTGGAGCGAGTGTGGCGGCACGACAGACGAGCTTGGCGCAGCCTCAAACGCCAGTCCGGACGCTGCCAGCTCGATCTTTGTCACGTGCAGCTCGATATCGAGTGGATTCTGCAGCGTCACGTTGACGCTCACAGGCTCGTCCTGTACCAGCTCGCATGCAGCGTTCTTGCGCACAGGCAGCGCATGCTCGAACTCGCTCTTGCTTCGCGCGATAGGCACGTGGCCGTCTGGCAGCGGCCGCACCTCGAGTGCTGCAAGCATGTCCTTGGGGCCATAGTACGCAAGCTTGAGGTCCGGCGCGGTAATTCGCGCCTGGGGCAGGACTGTGCGCAGGGCGCCGTACACGACTGACTGCTCGTTCGGTCCAAGCGCATATGCATAGTTGCGCAGGAGCAGCGCGCCAAAGTATGTCATCGCCACGTGATCTGCAAGAGCCTCGGCAAGAGCGACGAGCGACTTGACCAGACGCACCTGCAGCTCTGGCCAGCCGTACGTCGCATTCGCGATGCGGGGGTCAGCGAGCGCAAGTCGCGCGAGCTCCGTCTCGGCGTCGTCTTCGATGAGGGGGGCGTATCGCGCCTTGATGATGCGGCCGAGCACCTTGACGAGCGGATGGGTGGGCGGCAGGCCATGCACGGGCGCAGCGAGCAGGTCCACACCGTACGTGTCGGCGGCCTGCAGGCCAAGCACAAGCACAGGCACCGCGCTGTCCTCTCCCGAGGGCAGCACCGTGGCGGGGACGCCGAGAGCCACAGACTCCTCCTTGCGTGAACGCAACGACGTCGCAAGCACGCGGGAGAGCACGGCGTGCAGCTGCAGCACGACGTGTGCATGGCGTCTGGCAAAGCCCAGCTGTGCGAGAATCGCCGATGCCTCGCCGAGGATCGCAAGCTGGTCCGCCGCGCTGAGCACCCGGAGCGACTGTGTCACGGCGCCGTCAACGGCCGCGGCAATCTCGTGTCTGTACACGCCCGAGTGTGCAGAGAGCTGCGCATACTCTGTGGGCGTGAGTGCGCCTGCACCGAGCGCTGGGGGGACGCCGCCGGCAAGGAGCTGGTCAAAGCACTCGCCGTTCCACCCGCCGCTCGCCCAGACGGCGTGCAGAAAGCGGGCATACGACAGACACGCATTCGCGTAGACAAGGGGGTGGGTATAGTCACGTGGCGTTTCGCTGGTCACCGAGCGCAGTGGGGCATTCAGCAGGTGCGGCGGCGCAAGGCACTTTGTGTATACAGATATGGCGAGCGAGTACGCCTCGGCGACGTCCTTCCACACCAGCGACGGCGGCGACACGTCGCGCACTTCGCGGTCCTTTTCGCGCTCGCGTCCGGGCATAAAGGGATAGGCGGTGCGTGGCGCCTGCTCCACGGCTGCGCCACCGAGCCGCGCCAGCAGCGTGCGCGACACAGCCCAGCCTTCCAGGACGCTCGCGAACCACACCGCGTCCTGCCCGCCGGCGAGCGCGCGTTCGCGTGCGGTATTTGTAAGCAGCGAGTCGTACAGGTCGATAGCGGTCCACAAGTCGCCGGACAGCAAGGCGACGTCAGCCTTGACTTTGGTATAGCGCGTCGCACTTGTCGGGCCGCTCGTCGGCCGCTCGAGCGAGGCAGACTCGCGCCGGCCGATGATGCGCGAGCCAAACACCTTGGCCACGGAGCTCTGTGTTGGCGTGCCGGCTTTCTGGGGCACTGGCGACGCACGTGTCTCGCTCGCAAGCGCGGCAGCGAGGCCACCCAGCGTCTCACGTGGCGTCTCCAGCGGGGATCCGTCTAGCGAGCTCACCAGCGAGTCGAGGCTGTC